GGTTTTTTGTTTTGTTTTGATCTTTTGCAATTGGCCTCTATCCCTTGTCTGGTTAAGAACACATCTCCTACCTGTGCACATGAGAGTTATATGATCTGCTTCTCTTCGAATTTTTTTTTTAAAACATGACCTTAAGTAAAGGTCTATTTAGAATATACTGTGAAATACAGTGTAAGGTGTTGGTCTAAATCCAATTTCTGCCAGACTGCTTTCCAGTTTTCCCAAGTTTATCAGATGGGGAGTATTTACCTTGTTTTCTGGTTTATCAAAGACTGGGTTATTGAATTCCATTACTTCTGAGTCTCCCCTGTCTAGTCTGTTCCATTAATCTGCTTCTATTTTTTAACCAATACCAAATGGTTTCTGTTGCTCTATAGTAGAGTTTGAGTTCTGGAAGTGAACACACTATTCTTCATTACCAGAGACAGCAACGTGTTAATGCAGATGACTGGAATCAGCAAAAAGAATATGTCTTATTGATTTTGACCATGACTTCATTCTCTAATACGGGGAAACTTGCCATGGGGAAGAGTGTATGGACCTCCAACTTGGATGGCCAGTTCCCCCTTCTGTTATAGGCAGAGAGGTCTGCTTATAGCCCTAGCTAGCTTGCCAAGCCACACTAATGAACCACGTGCAGAGATACATGTGCCAATATGTAGCTTTAAGGCAAAGTCATATCTAACGTCCCACTCTCCCACTAATTGGTTGTATGACCTAAGGTGTGGTACTCACCTTCGGTCAGCCTCAATTTCTTCCTCTGTAAAATGAGAGGCTTGACTGAGAGAATCAAAGTCTCACTGGAGACACGGATTTATATCTCTCTTGACAGCAGCCTTTTGGAGGTAGTATGGTGCAGTGTATAGGATGCTGGACTTGGCAATGTAAAGATCTGGGTTCCAATACTGTCTCAGAGTGTGACAATGGGCAAGTCACAATTTCTCTCTGCCTCTGTATCCTAAGCTTTAAAACAAGGGAGTTGGACTTAATGACCTTTAAGGTCCCTTCCAGTTCTAAATCTGTGATCTCTTAAGGCCCACCTTTAAGCTTGGGTGATATGGTTCAGTAGAAATAGAGGTTCAAGTTATGGCACTAACTGGCTTAGTGACCTTGGGCAAGTCATTTTGTGCCTCAGTTTACCCATCTGCAAAATGGGGCTAAATAAAATATTACCTACTTCATAGGGTTGTTATGAGGAACAAGTGCTTTGAAATTATACAGCTATATTTGTGAGTAACAATTCTTACTGGGAAAGTTGTTTGGATAGATTCTGAAGCAGTACTTTTGATATTGTTCCATTCTCTTCCTACTTTAGGACTAATATGGAGCCTCTTGAGTCTAGATTACAGGTTGAGAACCAACTCGGTCATTCTTCACAGAACGAAGGGGGAGGCTTTTGGGGGAGGCAAGGCTAGAAAACAGTTCATGTGAAAAAAAGAGTCAAAAATTCCAAACTCGGTGAACACCCAGTGTGATGGCGAAAAAAAGTTAATACACTCTTCAGCTGCTTTCATAGCAGAGTGGTGTCCGGAACAAGGGAAGTGACAGGCCCTGATTTGAACCCATATGGATTTTTGTGTTCAGTTCTGGGTACCACATTTCAGAGAGGTGATTTACAATCTAGTACATTCAGAGGGAAACTAGTATGATGAAGTGACATGAAAATTGGGTGAAAGAGATCCTTAAAATGATAAAAGTAGTCTTAGGGATAGGGGAGAGGGAGGGGGGAGGAAGATGGAGAGGGGTTAAGGGTGGGGTGGTGGAGATGATGGTTGTCCTTAAGTATTTAAAAAGCTGCAATTCAGAAGAGGGTTCAGACTTATTCTTCTTGGCCCCAGAGCACAGTACAGAACTAACTACAGGTAAAAATTCCAGAGGCAGATTTTGACTCAACATAAAGAAAAAAATTTTCTAATACTAATGAGCTGCCTCATAAGAAAATGGGTTACCCCTCCCTGGGGGTCTTCAAGCAGATGCTGATAACTACTGGTCAGAAATATTGCAGAGATTTGTATTTAGCCACTAACTTGAAAAACAAATAAACACTAAGTAAGCCTACAGGCAAGCTCATCTGCTCTAAGATGTCACTATTCAACATCCAACTGTGATCATAATAGCTAACATTTGTACAGCACTGTACTATGTGCCAGGCACTGTGTTAAGTGCATTACAATTATTATCTTACAATAATCTTGGGAGGTAGGTGCTATTATTATCTCCATTTTACAGATGTCAAAACTGAGGCAAACAGAAGTTAAGTGACTTGTTCAGGGTCACACAGCCAGTGTCTGAGGTTGCTTTTGAACTCAGGCTTTTCCTGACTCTAGGTCCCAGTGCTCTATTCTTTGAGCCACCCAGCTGCTCTACCCTCCTGGTTGGCAGCCAGGAGACAAAACTAATCTAAAGCCCCAGCCGAAGACTTCATAAAACATACGCTGAATAATTTAACCTTTAGAAGGCTGGCATTGGGTTATTCCATGGTACAAGTTATGGAAGTATGGAAGGTAGGGGAGAAAAGGATGGAATAATACAAATATCTAATATTTCTATGCTGCTTTACTACTTACAAAGCATTTTACAATATCTTGTTTAATCCTAACCAACTACTCTATGAGGCAGGCAGGATTATCTACCTCCTGGCTCATTATCCTTATTTTACAGATGAGAAAACACGCCCAGAGAGAGGCCAAGTGCCTTGCCCAATGTCACATGGCTTGTTAAGTCGCAGAGCCAAGTTTTGTACAGACCTTTGTTTCTGCTGTTAGAGACTAGCTTAAAGGGTCCCAAAGGAGGCTGGAGGCACAGGGCATGATTAGGAATGGAAGTTTCTCGTCTTTGGCTCTAAAGCATTGGCTCTACCCGTCACTGTGTCGCAGATCCCTTTGCCAATCTGACGAGGCCCATGGACCCCTTCCTCGGGACTTTTTGAAATGCATAAAAATATACAGGATTACAAAAGGTTACAATTACATTGAAAGAGTTATCACAATATTTTTAAAAACAAGTTCATAGGCCCCAGATCCAAGAACCCTGCTTTGAAGCAATGACAAGCCATCTCAAGGGGTGAGTTTGGGTTTCTTTAGCACTTCTTTCCTTCTATATTCCTGGCCTGGGCAGACAGTATTAATAGAAAGCTCATGCTAGAGCTGCTCTCCTCTTCCCAAATGAACCAGCTCTAGGGCAGAGGCTTACTGCTAAGCCCTGGGCTCCTGCCTGCTGCCAACTGGAGGTTAAAATGTAGGCAGGAGGGCTTTTAGAGGACTACTCTCAACAGTGCTGATGCATGTAATCAATCCCATAAGACTTCAGGGCCTGTGACTACTTAACCATTAACAATCCCATGCCCTTCCCCAACATAGTACAGCTAGGAGTTATACAGATAGCTAGCTGTCTTTCCATAAATAGATAGGTATCAAACTGCAGAAATAGGAGGGATGTAGCTAGAGCATCATGCAGCTTTTGTTACAGATCTCCTGGCGAATCATGGAGCTACATCTGATTTGACGTGGTCCAGCTATATTGGTCAGAAGACTGGTCACTTACCTGCAGGAAGCAACATAGAGGCTGCCAACCCAATTTCCCAGATGGGATATGGAAAACCTTCAGTGCTAGCTGGCTTCTGACCTTACCATTCCACCAAAACTGATCTCTCCAAAGTTACTAATGATCTCTTACTTGCCAAATCCAATGGGCTTTCTTTAGTCCTCCTTCTTCCTGACCTTTCTGTAGCCTTTGACACTATTGAGCACTCCCTCCTCCTTGATACTTGTCTCTCTAGGTTTTCAGGACACCATTCTCTCCTGGGTCTCACTCCTTCTCTGTCTCCTTTTCTGGATCTTCTTCCAGATCATGCCTTTAACCCATAGGTGTCCCTCAGGGTTCTGTCCTGGGCCCTCTTCTCCTTTTGTATTTCTTTGCTTGGTGATATCATCAGCTCCCACAGATTTAATTATCATTTCTACACTGATGATTTTCAAATCTACCTATCCTGCCCCAATCTCTCTGCTGACCTCTAATCTTAAATTTCCAACTGCCTTTCAGACATCTCAAACTAGATGTCCAGTAGACATCTTAAACTCAACATGTACAAACCAGAACTTTTCCCCTAACCCCACCCCCCAACTCCTTTCTCCATTACTGCAGAGGGCAAGACCATCCTTTCCATCCCCAGGCTCACAAGCTAGGAGTCATCCTGGATTCCTCACCATCTCTTGACTCCAACATCTAAGCTGCTATCAAGGCCTCTCAATTTCACCTTTGCCACATCTCTCTCCTCTGACACTACCACTATATCGATACAGGCCCTCGACACTTCACACTGGATTACTGCAATAGCAGCTGGTGGGTCTGCCCGCCCCATGCCTCTCCCCACTCCAGTCCATCCTCCAGCCATTAGTGATTTTCCTGAAGTGCAGTTCCAACTATGTCAGCCCTCTACTTAAATGCCAATGGCTCCCTATCAACTCCAGGAGCAAGTACAAAACGCTGTTTGCCATTCAAGGCCCTTTATAACCTAGATCCCTTCTACCTTTCCAGTCTTCTAATACTTTACTCCCCAACAGGCACTCTTCAGTCTAGTGACACTGGCTTCTTGGCCACTCCATAAATAAGGCACTCCGTCCCTTGGCTCTGAGCATTCTCTCTGGCTGTCCTGCATGACGGGTGTGCCCTCCCACCTCCTCCCTGGCTTCAAGAACGAGACAGATTCCTATCTTCTTCTACAGGAAGCCTTCCCCAACTCCTCTTTATTTCAGTGCCTTCCACTAACTACGTCCAGTTCATTGCTTTGTTTGCACATTGCCTCCCCCGTTAAGACTGCAAGCTTCTCGAGGACAGGGGCTTTTCTGCCTCTTTTTGTACCCCCAGTGATTAGCATAGGGCCTGGCACATAACAAGCCTATAATAAATGTTTATTGATCAATAGAAGTAACCTGAATTGCTGATCTGGTCCATCCAGAAAGGAGGGACAACAGGCAATAAGCTGACAGAAGAGGCTGAGATTGTTTAGTAACCACACATGGCTGTTTATTTCATACAGGGATCTGTACAAATTGTATTTACACATATATATTCTTTACAGAATAAGTAAATCACCTGAAGATAGGAGAGTATGAGTTTTTTCCTCGTTGGCAAAAGGACATCCTTAGCCTCAAGAAAGGAGCAAGGCAAGTGAATTTTCCTTCCTTTTTTCCATCAGGGTAAGAGAGAAGCTAGTTTATTTTGCTTTCAGGAAGACTGTGGGTTGGGTGGAGGGACTGGTAACAATTTTAGGATCCTGACTACACCTGTTCCCTACTAATGAGCACCTTCAGCTTATTAAAAGAGATCAGTCTCCCTGTAGCAAAATGCTAATACACAGCCAGTCCTCCCTTATGCTGACATCATAACCTGGCGGGGTTCCACTCTCTTTACTTGGGAAGGAGTTTCCTTTGTCATCAGAATCATCAGGATGGCTCCCTAGAATGCAACCAACTTAAAGCTAGACTGCCCCTAAGCCCTTGGGGAGGATTCTCATCACCTGTTTGGCCATTCGTGTCAAACCTTAAGAAGGATTTCACAGGATCCTCCCTTCACCCTGCTTCAGAGTTTCTCTTAGTTTTAAAGTGCGTAGTGAAAATTCAATGTTTGACACCCTTCCAACCCTTTGGGAAGGCTCCTGCCAAAAAAATAAACCACCCATCTCATGCCCACCATGTGGTCAGACTAGGCAAAGATTTCTGAGTGAGAAAGGAGTGAAAGCAGGATTCACTAGGGGGAGTGCATCTGATACCTTCACTTGTAACAAAATACCTGTAAAAGAGAACCGTGCAGAAGAGACCGGGAAAGATTTAGAGGAAGACGGCTGAGTGGCTGTTTAACATCTGACACCCCAGTTTCTCTAAAGAAGCAGAAAAGGCACTTTTTTTTTTTCTAGCCAGAGTCAGGTTTAAAATAAACCTGGCTCTGGGTATTGGAAAAGCCACTTTCTAAATGGACTGATGAATTTAAACCTACTTCCCCCACATCTCGTGCCACAAGTATGGGAGCGTGGGTTTGGTTCCTCCAGGATCCTGCTGAGCTTCACAGAGACTGCAATTTACCCCTCCTGAAGGAATGGTCAATTTCTAGCAATATTCCCTACAAAATAAGAAACTGCCTGGGGGAAAGACAGAACTGAACCTATGAAGTGATAAAGAGGTAGTGTGTGGGTGTTTCTTTTGGGGATGGAGGGACCAGAGAAAAGCCCAAGACATGACAGGCTGAGTGGGTTTTGTGGAGGTTTGGACTGTTTACAAATTTAATTTGGGTTGACATACAAAAACACTTGATGGCAAGTAGTTTTCAGGGCCTCATGTTCACCCTCCTAAGTAGTAGCTCTTTTTCCATGGACAAAGAACGTTAGTAAAGCAAGTTTATATGTATATTCAAAAAATTGTAATAACAATGGCTTTTATATGCCATCTATGTGGCTCAGGGGCCCTGGGGGGCAGAGGAACAAAAAAGAAGAGAAGATCAACTCAGAACTGAATCTGAAAAAATCATTACCCATTTATGCTTGACAGGATGTGCCCAAGGGATCCCTGGGCTGGGAATAGGATTTGCCCAGTGACCTATTTCATACCTGTCTGTTTATTTCTCAACTAACTGCACTGGGAAGATGGAAAAAATTAACACTAAATCCTTGGCTAACTGGGTCATGTCAAAGCTTCACTGACTGGAGAACTCAGAAAGTGAACTTGGAAAAAAAGTATGGTGGCCAATGGATTATCAGGACCTTACAAACAGTTCCGTTTAAGAACTTTCTCTGTTCTCTGAATACCTACAGACCCTCCCTGGCTTTTGCTCAACCTTCTTCCAACCATTCAACTACTGTGATGGTTCCTTCCTCCCTTGTATAAAAAGGAAGAGAGGCAAGAGAAACCCCTGCAGTAAGGACAGGAGGCTTGCAGTGGCTCAGGTTACTACTGGTCTCCCATAATTCAGTTGAGCTCAGTCCACATGAGCTCCAAAGACAAAAGGGAGTTAAAGTAACTCAATTCCCCTGTCACAGGGGAAGATGGCAGACATCTGCCCAATTAGAAACCCACTGCTTAATGACCAAAGAGATAAAGAGGTTTAATACCATGGCCCTAAAAAGCCCTTGGTGTTGGGTGGACCCTTCCATTAGCCCCTGAAGCAAAGGCAAATCATGGACAGGGAAGGTAGGGTGGTGGGGATAGAAAACCCTTGACATAAACCCTTTTAATAAAGGAATGCTGACTTCCTCTCAATCTTCCCATGGAAGGGTGAGAAGCTTAATTTAAAATAACAGGAGCCTCCTCCCCAGTTGTCAGGGAAATAGCTGTAGTTGAAATTTAGGGGCCCACTCAAGGGCACTCTTCACCACTGCTAAAGCAGCTGCTCCCAGAGCCACTGTCAGCCCCATCACTGCCAGCTTCACAAAGCGATTGGTCCTTGGTTTGGTCAGGATATTTTTTGTCCGATCTTCAGGCTGCAAGAACCCTCGGAAGCGCTGCCGCAATACCATGTCTGGTCTTTGCTGGGCAGATGCCAACTCAAAGTCTTTAAAGGTAGAGGCTGCTGTTCTGCAAAGGAAAGTGATGGAGATGAGAATTTGTGTAGGGGGCAAAATGGAAGGATACCTTTTGTACATTTTTCCCTTAAGAGGACCTGTGAAGTCTAAAATGGGAATCCTATCCATGTCTAGGTCTCTGGAACCAAAATTTCCACAAAGACATCCTTTATACTGTATGATTCTGTCCAGGAAATACTTCCAGATCATGTAGCGCCACGGAGCCACTCACCTCTCAGCTTGTTGCTGAGCCACCTCCCTGGCAAGCTCAGATGGAGGAAACTGAACGAAGAGATCTCCTGCTCTACTAATCAGGGTTTCATACGGCAAGTCCTGAGGGATCTGGGACAAGAGGTGGTGAACAGAGGCCATATCACACTCACAATCAAGGACTTCTTGCTCTCGATACAACACAATCTACAGAGATAAAGCCAGAGATCCTGCAATGAAGACCTGAGAAAAGATGATGATGCCCTGTCCACAAACACACCATTCTCCTTGAAGACAGATGTATATTAATCATGGAAAAGATTCTTTCAAAATTTCCTGTGAATCCCAGTACCCATTTTGGATGTAATATTAACATGAAGGTGGAGTAGTGGATAGAGCACCAGACCTGAAATCATAAAGACCTAAGTTCAAAACCAGTTTCAGACAATTACTAGATGTGTGATCCTGGGCAAGTCACTTAACATCTGTGTACCTCAGTTTCTTCATCTGTAAAATGAGGATAATAATAGCACCTATCTCCCAGGGTGGTTATGAGGATCAAATGAAATAATATTTGTAAATACTGAGCACATAATAAGTGCTATATAAATGTTAACTATTATATCATATTTATCATATAATGGGCTTCAGTGCTGTTGGGACTAGAACTACTGCTATCTTAATGAGGCAGCTGGACACAAGGGATAGGGTGACGGATCTGGAGTAGGGAAGACCTGAGTTCAAATGCAGACTCAGACACTTATTAGCTGTGCAAGTAAGTGACCTGAGCAAGTATGCCTCAGTTTCCTTGTGTGTAAAATGGAGATAATAACAGCACCTACTTCCCAGGCTTCTTGTAGAGATCAAATGAGATAACAGATATAAAGTGCTCTGCAACCTTAAAGCGTAATATGAATGCTAACTTATTATTGCTGTTGTTATTATTATTACTATTAGAAGATAAGGAAAGAGCGTTCTTGCTGGAGGCTTAGACTATGTGAATACCTAAATAAGTCCTTTTGAAGCACAGAGGCTCAAGTGCCTCCCCAAATTCTTATTTAGACACCAGAAACAATCCTTTTAAGAAAAATAGAAGGGAAAAGGAGAGTTGAAACACTGAATTCACCCATAGCAGAAATGATTTCCATTGAATGCCTCATTCTCTCTGTGCTGATGTGGATACTAGAGGTATTATTTTCTTTTCACTTTCAAACTCACTTCTTTCTTTTCAAATACATATATTTAATTTTTGCCCCAATATTACATGTAAAGATAATTTTTAACATTCAATTTTTTAAAATTTTGAGTTCCAAAATTCTTTCCTCCCTCACCACCTCTCTCCCTAAGACAGTTAGCAATAGGTTATATATATGCAACCATGTAAAACATATTCCCATATTAGTCAGGTTGTGAAAGAAACTAATTGCCCCACCAAAAAAAAAAACCCTATGAAAAAAATAAGTGAAAAATAGTATGATTTGATCTGCATCAGTTCTTTCTCTAGAGGTGGATAGCATTTTTAATCATGAGTCCTTTGGGATTGTCTTGGATCACTGTCTTGCTGAGAATAGCTAAGTCATTCACAATTGATCATCATACAACGTGGCTGTTACTGTGTACAATGTTTTCCTGATTCTGCTCATTTCACTCAGCATCAGTCCATACAAGTCTTTCCAGGTTTTTCTGAAGTCTACCTGCTGCTCATCATTTCTTACAGCACAATTTTATTCCATTACAATCATATACCACAACTTGTTCAGCCATTCCACAGTTGATAGGTATTCCCCTCAATTTCTAATTCTTTGCCACCACAAAAAGAGCTGCTATAAATATTTTTGTACAAATAGGTCTTTCCTCCATTTTTTTTGATATCTTTGAGATATAGACCTAGTAGTGGTATTGCTGGATCAAAAGGTAATGCACAGTTTGGTTGCCCTTTGAGCTGAGTTCCAAATTGTTGTCCAGAACAGTTAGATCAGTTCACAACTCCACCAACACTGCATTAGTATCCCAGTTCTCCCACATCCCCTCCAACATTTATCATTTTCCTTTTCTGGCATATAAGTCAATCTGATAGGTGTGAGGTGATACTTCAGAGTTGTTTTAATTTGCACTGATCAATAGGTAGCTTTGATTTTTTCATCTGAAAACTGCCTATTCTTATCCTTTGGATATTTATCAATTGGGGAATCACTTGCATTCTTATAAATTTGACTCACTTCTACATATTTGAGAAATGAGGCCTTTGTCAGAGACACTTGCTGTAAAAATTGTTTCCCAGCTTTCTGCTTTCCTTCTAATCTTGGCTGCATTAGTTTTGTTTGTACAAAACTATTTTAATATAATCAAAATTATCCATTTTACATCTAATAATGCTCTCTATCTCGTTTGGTCATAAACAAACCCACTTCTTCAGCAGGAACAAGGAGTGAGTCAATTCACAATATCTAGAAGCAAGCACTCAAGAATGTCTTACTCTTCTACAGTTTACTTCATCCAGTCCAAGTTGTGTCTACTTTCTATTTTAGAGTAGCAGTGGAGAGCAATCACAAGACCACTGGATCTAAAGTCAGGATTCAAGGCCGCCATTTATCAATTCATGACCATGGGCAAGTCACCTCAATTCTCTGAGCCTCAATTTTCTCTACTTATAAAAAAAAGGACAATAGTACCTATGTGTCCTACCTTACAATACTTTTGTAAGGAAAAGTGCTTTATAAACTGCAAAGTGATAAAAGAACGTGAGACTTATGCTTCAAAGACCCACTGTGGGTACTTCTTCTTACAGATTATAATACCTTCCTGCCTCAAACGGATTGTTTCACGGATTGCTGTGGTGGAAACAATTCAGCCCCTGGTGGCCAACCTTCTGAAAATCAGCATCTCAGAATCTGGTGATGCTGGTGCAGACAACAGTTTTCTTCGGGGCTTGTACTCAAAACCTCTTCAGCCTGGGAAGGCCCATAGGAGCTTTGGCATTGCTGGTTGGCAGAGCCTTTGAGAGCTCAGGCCCAGCTGGGGAGGCCTTGGGAGTTAAAGTAGGGCTTTCCTGGAGGTTACCATTATTATCATTATCAATATTAGCACCTACTTTTTTTTTCCCTTTAAACTTATGGTTTTTATTCATCTTCCCACAAACTATTCTTTTCCACTTTGTCCCCACTGGAACCTGTAAATCATGGCACAAACCAAGGTACATAAGAACACTGAAAGTGGAGCTATGCATAGTTTAGTCATTCTGGAAAGTAATTTGGAATTATGTGCCCAAAGGTACATAGAATACATACTCTTTAACCCAAATAAACCATTACTAGGTCTCTACCCAAAGAGATCAAAGAAAGAAAAAAAGACCCATGTGTACAAAAAGCTTTATAGCAGCTCTTTTCACAGTAGCCCCCAACCTGGAAACTAAGGGATTACCCATCTCTTGGGGAATGCCTAAACAAACTGTGGTCTATGAATGTAATGGAATATTACTGTGCTATACAAAGTGATGAAACGGACAATTTCAGAGGACACTAGGGAGACCTTTATGAAATGATACAGAGCAAAGTGAGCACAACTAGGAGACAACCAACACAATGACAACATTATATAGTAAAACACCTTTGAAAGTCTTTGATAAATCAGGACTGACAATGAATCCAATCACCCATCTTCTGCCAGAGAGGAGATGGACTTAAAATCTAGAAAAAAACTTGCATTTTTAAAATATGGCTAATGTGAGAATGACTTTGCTGGTCTATGTAAGTTTGTGTGGGCTTAGTCCCCACCCCCTAACTGAATATGGGAGAGGCAATGGAAGGGATAAAAACTGCTTGTAAAAATAAAAAAAAGGGGGGCAGCTAGGTGGTGCAGTAGACAGAGCACTGGCCCTGGAGTCAGGAATATCTGAGTTCAAATCCAGCCTCAGACACTTAACACTTACTAGCTGTGTGACCCTGGGCAAGTCACTTAACCTCAACTGCTTACCTAAATAAATAAATAAATAAAATAAAATAAATCTTTAAAAAGGGGGGGAGAGTGTCATAGATCAAGGAGCTACTTTTTCTCTCCCCCCAATTTTGGTGGAAAGAAACATGAAAAAAGGGAGAAACACCTTACTTGGGACTCAGGTGACCATGTCTAGCTCCATTTCTAGATATGTTTGCTCCTGGAGGTGGAATAAGATCCTTCTTAACTGACCCTTTCCAAGGGAAATCATTGGACTGCTATGTTACAGATTTATGATTAATACTTACCACAGCAGCAAAGTAAATGGGCATCAGTGGGTGGCAGGCCAGGAAGAAGTCATACAACCGTACCACATGCCTGAAGTCGGATAGGACGTGGCCAAACCAGGTGATCAGCCAGCTAAGTGCAAAGATGGTTCCCACCTCAGCACTAAGAGCCAAAGGAAATCCAGTTGTTAGATTCTGTTTCAGCTTCCTCCACATCTTCCCTCCCTTTTCGGCTTCCCCAGCCTCAGATCTGGTGAGACATTTACTTAAGAAATATGTTTCCTGGCAACTTTCTCCATCAAGGAATAAGCTGTATTCCCCAAGACTTCAGAATCCAAGGCTGTAAACAGTAATGTTAATAGCAGCTTGATGATGCAATGAGTTCTGGGCCCACAGTTAAGAACACTTGAATTTAAATCTAGTTTCAGATACTTCTTGCTGTGTAAGCCTGGTTAAATCACTTAACCTCTGTACGCTTCAATTTCCTCAACTATAAAATGGGGATAATAATTGCACCTACCTCCCATGGTTGTTATAAGGATCACATGAGATATTCATAAAGTGCTTAGCAGAGTGCCTTAGGAGCTTAATAAGTTCTTGTTCTCTTCCCTTCCCTAATTTCTCCAACACAATCTTGTGATGCTCTCCTGATAGAGTATGAGTCCTAGTTACTTTGCTTCAAAAAAAGGCATTATGGTATACTAGAATGAGCACCAGACCAAGAGTAAAAGGATCCAAGTCCCAGTTCTAACAGCTATGAGATATTGGTAAATTATTTCTCATCTCGGAGTCAAAATTTTTTAATTTGTAAAATTAGGCAATTAACTGCAAAATGAAGCACCTGGGTGGCACAGTGGATAGAGCTCTGGGCCTGAAGTCAGGAAGAGCTGAGATCAAATCCAGACTTAGACACTTCCTAGCTGTGCAATCCTGGGCAAGTCACTTAACCTCTGTGTGCCTCATTTTCTTTATCTGTAAAACAGGAATAATAATAGCACCTACCTCCTAGGGTGGGATCAAATGAGAGAATAACTGTAAAGCACTCTGTACTGTGCCCAGCTTATAGTAAGCACTATATAAATGTTACAGATTAGCTATTATTGTTAAAATGAGAATAATAATAATTCTTATACTAGCAACTTTGCATGGTTATCATAAAGATAGCAAAATACCACATAAAGGTGAGGGGTTTTGTTTGGTTGTTTTTTGGTGAGGGCAGGAGAGGGCAGAGTTGAAGAATAGTAGAAAGAGTATTAGGCCTGGAGTCCAAAGACCTGGATTGAAGGCCTGGCTTTGTCACTTGTGACCACAGGCTCAGTTTCCTCATAATGCTGCTTGAATGAAATACCTTAGAAGACTGTTTCAAGAAAAAGGTTTTATAAACTATTAAAAAAAACCATAAATAATCATTGTTATTATGTTCCACAAAGTTAAGTGATGGCATTATGCCACTCCCCAGCTGGTCTACAAATCTAAAAAACATGGGACAAGAATTAAAGTCAAGTGTTTTTTATTCCCACCATTTTTAGAAAGACTACATCTTCAGTTACCTTCTGACAGTACTCAGATCTGTTATTCTGAGGCTTGGGCAACACATTCTCTTAAGCTAGGAAACAGGTGCTTTCAATGATCTGCAGACTTAGTGTAACTAAAATTCTTAAAAAAAAAATCCTTAAGAGATAGTATCATCTTTCCAGAGATGACACCCAAATCAATATATCCAGCTTTAATTTCACTTCCAATCTCCCACTATCAGTTGACTGCTGGACATCTCCACCTGGGATGTCCCTTAGGCCTCTTAAATTCACCTTGTCCAAAGCAGAACTCATCACTGTTACCCCAAGAACCTCCCTTATGTGGAGGATACTACACTTTTCTAGTTATTCAGGTTCACAGTCTTGGAGCCGTCTTCGCCTTTTCCCTCTGCCTTTCCACTTCTATTTAACAGGTGAGAGGTGTTGATAGCTCAACCTCGAGCATGTCCTCTTCTCTCCATCTGCACTACGTCAGCACTTCCAGCCTTAATCACTTCTTGCTTGGACTATTTTAACTGCCCTTGCAATTTTAATCTTTTCTTTCTCTAACAGCCACCAAAATAATATTTCTAAGGCACTAGTCTTTCTATATAGCTCCTCTATTCAAAAGTCTTCAGTGGCATTTTAATGCTGTTAGGATAAAATATAAGCTCAACCCTCCACAATCAGGCTATAACCAATGTTTTCAGTTTCATCTCCCAATACTTCTGGTTCTCTATGTTACAGACAACCTGGACCACTAGCTGTTCCCTGAACTCAGCATTGCTTCCCCTGCCAACATGGATTTGCATAAGTCATCCTCCACACCCACAACGTATTGCCTTTTCTTCTCTACATCTCAGAATCCTTATCTTCCCCTCAGTGTTCAGCTCATGAGTCACCTCCTCCACAAGATACAGCATTCTCTGATCCTCCTCATTGTTACCTGCCTGAGTAATTAATGCTCTCCCCTCCTTAAGTTACTTTGTATTATTGGTCTGCACACCTATTATATCCCCCCATTGGAAAACAAGCTTCTTGAGGGTAGAGATTGCTGCACTTTGTGTGTGTGTGTGTGTGTGTGTGCGCGCACGCGTGTGTGTGTTAGCCCTGTGCCCAGCACCCTGCTTTGAACATAAGAGTTGCTTAACAAATATGCTAAATTTGGGACCAGGTGGTGAAGTGGATAGAGCTCTAGCCTTGGAGTCAAGAGGACCTGAGTTCAAATCCAGCTTCAGACACTTGACACTTACTAGATGTGTGACCCTGGGCAAGTCATTTAACCCCAACTGCCTCACCAAAAACAAAAACAAATATGCTAAATTTAATTGAATTAATTCCCCTACAGATAGGACCTAATGGCCAACTGTGGCTTTTCAGAGATCTAAACAAGTGGGGAAATAAATCTATACTTAATTTGTAAAGGCACTTTCTATTACTGGAACTGAGAAGTACTTAGGAAAAAAATCCTATGCCTGAGTGATTTTATGAAGTCTAGGGGTTCAATGAGTTTATCTGTCTTTTAGCGCAAAACAGCTTAGGACTTGCCCAACCACACTAATTAACACAAATTTCAGATAATGAAATATGTTTGGATTCCCTAAAGGGGAAAAGTTGGGGAGACTATGTTGTATACCTCTGCATGAAGTCATGGAGCTCTGGATTCACCTGATCTATGATGGGCATCAGGTAGTTTAATATATGCTTGGTATTGTCCATTGTTGGGTCCATGAAATCCCTGGGGTGAGACAAGAAAAAGAGTTTGGTCAGGTCAAAACTAGATTAAACCCTGCTAGGGGTTAATCCATTCAGTAAATAGACCAGTAATAAGCTCAGGGGGAAAACATGGTTTGTTGGTCTTTTTTGTGTGTGACACCAAGTAGGCAGAAAATGTAACTCCTCACAGTTCCCTGGCAAGATACCTGAGGTGGTGGGTAGAAAGCTTCTCCACTAGTGATGTCGCCAACCTCTCACCCACAACGAGCAGAAATGTGACCACAATGTCATGGTAGCCCTGGTAGTAGTGCAGCTGGGGATTGCGTTCCAAAACATACAAAATGATGTCAATCAGTTCCTCTTGGAGCCCTTCTCTTTGTTCACTAGGCATGCCTGGAGATGGAAGGAGAGAAGCACATGGGCATGGCAAATAGCCAAAGAGCAAGAAAAGGAAGAAGGACTAGAGCTGGCTTGCCCAAATACAGAATGGTAACTTTTAAAGGAAGTGTGTAATCAAGGAATGAATCCCACTGCCAACATCCTACAATGGATCCTTGTGACTAACTTCTGGACCACTGCACAAGCCACCCACCCTGCATTCCCCACACCAGTTTCTCTAGCTTCAATCAATCCAACACAATGTAGCCAAATTAATCTTCTTTATGAACAAATATGATTATGATCTTTTGCTCCAAACTCCTGAATGGGATACTGCCTACTGCATAAAATTCAAATTCCTCACCTTGGGAGTCAATGCTCTTCAGAACCCAGCACCACCTCACATTTCCAGCTTTATCTCAGTCCATTCTATATCCTTTTACTATATGCTCTAGCCAGCTAAAATGGACTGCCTGCTCTCTTCTGTATGCAGCTCCTGTGGTTTTCTGCTTCTGTACCTCTCTTCTCTATATTTCCTATGCTGGCAATGCCCTACCCCATCTCTGCCTGTTGAAATCTTACCCATTCTTCAACTCAGCTCAAAAGCCAAAGCCTCCATTGAAGCCTTCTCTGTTTCCCTTCTTCAGATCTCACAAAATACTTTGTACTTCTGCTCTATTTACATTATCATTATTTGTATACACAGGCAGCTAGACGATCCAGTAGAATCAGGAAGTCCTGAATTCAAATCCAGCCTCAGATACTTACTAGCTATGTGACCATCGGCAAGTCATTTAACTTATGCCTGCCTCATCTGTACAATAAGGATAATAGGAGCACCAACCTCCCAGGGTTGTTGTGAGGATTAAATAAGATATTTATAAAGCACTTTGCAAACCTTCAAGTAATATATAAATACTATTATAATTATTATTAATTCTATCACCTTACTAGAATGTAAACTCCATAAGGACCGAGTCCCCAGCTAATTAAAAAAAATTTTCCCCCAGTGCCTGGTTGCATATTTTGCATATGGTAGGTGTTTAATGTTTAATTTAATGGGAAACTGTTGTATTTTATTTCCAACTCTCCTAGTATGCACCCCTGAATACACCACTAGGCCTCTACACCATGGCTGCTGGCAAGAGCTTGGAGGTCCTGGAGTGGAAGCTATCACTGTGATGGAACACTACAAACCAAGGCCAACAAGGCTGCCTACTCCTCCCAAAGCAAGGCGCTGGAGGTGGGCACTATCATGCATTTCACAGAATCCTCTCATTAGAAAAGACATTGGGGATTATCTATTCTAATCGCTGCCTAATTCACAAGGATAGCATTTATGGAACAGAACACAAAATCCCGGGGGGGGGCGGGTAGTGACTATTTGTTTTTGAGTCCTCAATACAAACACAGCAGATGCCTAATAAACAATACTTACTGAAAATTTTTGTTTTAAGCTAACAACTATTAAACTCTTATTTTTCCACTCTTCCCACTCTCTCACATTAAATCTTCATGCTTATCAACTTCCAATCCCTTGATCCCTGCTTATTTTCCCAGTCTAATTAGCCCACTTTGGCTTGGCTTAATTCCATACCCTAGCCTTGGTCCCAAAGGTCACTTTCATGTTTCACTAGATACTACTCCAGGATTCCTTATCCTCCTGAGCTTCCACTGTTCCTAAACTGAAAACCTCCATTCCCAGGTATTTTATTTCTCTGTTACTGTCACTGAGCTGCTGAGTACTGCTAGACAAAGATAAAAATCATTAAACTGGGCTGATTTTACTCATTACAAATTTATACAACATAACCTCAATTGGATCCTTGATGCTGCCTGCCAAACCTATTTCACCCTTATTCACTCCTTATCTCATTCCCCACATCTGTTCCAAACCTTTTCTCCTCTTCTGTATTCTACAATCCTAACCCCACATCTCAAACTTACAGTGATCTATTTCACCATGAAGATTGATGTGATTTAATGTGAGCTTTCTACCTGCCTCAAATATCTTCAAATCTCAGCACTGTCTACCCACACTTTCTCCTTCACTCTGGTCACAGAAGACATATCCCTCTTCCTAACTGAAGTTAATCCTTCTACCTCCATCTTTAATCTCATCCTCTTCTACCTTATATAGAAATTCAGAATTAAAAGGCACTCTAGTAGCTATCTAGTTCAACCATACCTCAACAAGAAGCCTTTGCTTGAAGACCTCCAGTGAGAGGAAACCCACCACCTTCAGGGCAGCCTGATGCACTTTCGAGCAGTGATATCTGTCAGGGAGTTTCCCCCCAATACCAAACACAAATATGCCTCTTTCCAACTTCTCTTCATAGCACCTATTTCTGCCCTCTGCAGAACAAATCTAATCCTTCTTCATCTATGGGAAAAGCCCCTTGAAGACAGTTATCTTAACACTATTTCTTTTCTTCTCCAGGCTAGACATCCCCAGTTTGTTTCAACCAACCTTCCCATAGGATAAATTCAAGGTCCATCACCATTTTGGCTGCTCTTCTCTCCAGCATATGGTGTTTGGAAATGAATGCAATACTACAAGTGTGGTCTGACAGAAAACAGTCTTCCTTATTGCTGGCTGTTAAACCTCTCTTAATTCAGTCTAAGATCACACTAACTTGCTTGACTGTCATATCATATCACTTTCTCATACTGAACATGCAATCTGTTAAATCCCCCAGATCTTTTCCAGATAAACTCTTCTCTAGCTACGTCTCTTCCATTTTGTGTTGCTAAAGTTGATTTTCTGGATTTATACAGTTTAATTTAATCTCATCTCTATTAAATTATTTCAGCTATTTTCCTTCCCTGAACCTCACATTAGACTTGGTTTGTGAATGTATTCTGATTTTGTTAATTGTGTACCTGTTGTGTCAGCACTGCTAAGTCAGTAAACTCTATTAGGAGTGGGGCCACCTCATATAATATGGTTTGAATATATTCTATACCTTTAACATATTTCTTTGGGGTGGGGGGAATACACACACACAAATAGATACATTTGGTAAGCTTTACATTTCAAGGATCCATGGGTACATTATAGTTGGAATTCCCATAACTGTTCAATTTGGTGTCAGGAGGACCTAGGTTCCCTTTTTATTCTAATCAAATCCTGCTTATGCCACTTACTCTTTGTATAGCCTATGAAATGGATTCTTAACTTTTTTTCATCATGGATCCCTTCAGCAATCTAGTGAAGTTTATGATCTCTTTTCAGAATAATATTTTTTAAATGTACAAAATAGATCAAAAAGGAAATCAATTATACAGAAAGTTATCAAAATATTTCAAAGTAGTGATAAATATAAATCACGTTGTGAAGTATTTGCAACAACTATAATGTGAAATGAAAATATCTGTGATTTCTAGAGGTAACAAAGTCATAGATACACCTAATACTACTATGGTAGTATTAGGTATTATAGTAGTATAGTAGTATAGTATTAGGTAGCATAGTAGTATATTAGGTAGTATAGTAGTATATTCGCAATGAAAAGAAATGTTAAACTTCTCCCTCCATTTGCTCTTCAAGCTTTCTTTTTGTTTCTGCTATCACCATTCAAACTGTCTTTCATAACTGTAATGTTCACAACTGTGGACTTTGATTCTATTCTTTTACTTTCAATCAGCTATCAATTCCCACCGATTCTATCTTGACAGCATCTCTTACATCTATTCCCACTTTTAGATAACTGTGAGAGTTTAACAGTTCTTCCTGCCTCTACTCTCTTACTTTCAACTTTTCCAAAGTACTGCATGAGTAACCTTTCTTATGCGTAGATCTGGCCATGTTACCCAAACTGTTCAGTGTCTATTTCTTTTGAGTAAATGCCTTTGCCTGACATCCACAACCTTTTACAATTTCATACCATCCTACCTTCCCAGTCTTATCTCCTCTTCTTGCCTCCATACATTCTACTCTAGCCAAACCGGACTAATTTCTGCTGTCCCTCCCCTAACCCTGAACATGTCTCATGCTCTCCTGCTTTCTATTACTTTTTTTTTGCACCAATCATTGTATCAGGAATGTCCTTCTTTCCTTCCCCCTCCTTCACTGTTGTACTCTTTCCCATCTTCTAAAGTTTAATTCAATCAAATATCATATTGTAAGTAGTTTTCCCAGATTCACTACTCATCAGTAACAACCTTCTTCCTGTCTTGGGTCTGAGATAGTACCTTGGTTGAACTTCCCTAATGAATTTATATAATACAGTGAATTGCAGTTACCTGTATTAGTACCTTATCCACATTTAGACTATAAACTCTATGAGGACAGGCCTCATGGTTTTTCCCCAAAGTTTCTCTCCAATTCTTTGACTAGTTGAATGAAAGCCAATAATTATTATATGTAGTCATGGTTTCAGGTGACATGAATAGAACTTAAATCCATGTAATTATGAACCATGGTGTTCTTCTATATTTAAATGCAAGAACTCTGTAAATAAGGTTGGAAAAATTCTATGTTATGTACTCAATGGGAGATCAGTGAAATAAATCTTCAGGTTTCTAGAACATCAGCTTATCTGAGAGGCAAGAATTTTTAGTGACAAGTACATTGGAAACAGACTTGTGGTTCTGACTAAATCCTACCATTTGTTGTGTGAAGTTAAGCATGTTATAACTTCTACATCCCCATTTCTCCCCGGTGGAAAACCTGGGACTATCTATTACACACAAATGTATTTTGAGTATTTTTTGTATTCCAAAACTTACAAGAAATCCTTATTAGTTGTCTGCAGGCACGTTTGGTTAAGGTGTAATTTGTAGTCATAAATCCCACAGAAAGAGGCAGTGAATCTCAAAGCAATTCATCCAACGGTGTTCTATGTAAATGGAAGCTGTCTTTGGCAAAGTAAAGCCTAAGAGGTATGCAGTTTCAAACTTCTACTAACCTAACATTTACTTCACAAAATGATAAAATCTCAGGCTTTGACAAGACCTCAGAAGTTAACAAGTTCAACCCCCTTTTCATTCTGCATGTGATTTTATTTTCTGGT